GTAGGTTGTTACTTGAACAGTAACTCCTTGTACTGAAGGCTGTGATGAATACTGTAAAATGGTCCCTAAGTAAAACGATGTGTTATAAATGGTCTTGGCTCTAATATAGTGGGAACATATTATTGAGGAAATTAGGACTGGAGGTCATTTGAGAATTGTTTGCATCTTCAAAATACACTGAAAAACCATGCTAGAGCATTTTCAAATATTATATATGCATGCTGTGCACCATGTCCTTCAGTGCTCTGCTGGCTTTCAGTCTCATTTGCAGTTGAAATTATTAAATTCTGTGCAAGTGGGTTCCAACAATCATGCACCAGTAATAGAATATTTCTCAGCAGTATTGGCTTGAGAGAAGCAGTTTTACTTTTACTGGAGTTTTTTGTAGCAGTTTCGGCCAAGAGAGATTCCAATCTGCAATTAACTGCAACTATTATATTTAATTAATTGTTCTAATGCCTTGAATGCACCATCATCCTTTCTTTGATACATACATCAGACAAAAGAGCATAAATCTATGTTTTATGTTTTACTGGCTCACCTCCAGACTTCCCTTTTCCAAACCTGTATGTTAAATGACAGTACTCCTGTCATATTGTATCTGACAGTCTCTCTCTGGATCATCAGGGATAACATGTAGCCAGGCTGCTTTGCCTTTGGATGTACATTTACAAAATGACTGACGTTCAAACAACGTACATGCTCCTGCCAAACATACACAGAGTACACATAGGTTACACTCTACAAGCAAATATGCTCTTTATTTCTGTAACATTTACAGAACAAAGATACAGAACAAAGATACAGACAAAGAAAAATGCACTCCTTTGGTTTCAACTCATCTGTTTGTCGGATGCTATGGCATGATCATCAGTCTTGAGAGATTGCTTGTGGACTGATGCAGAAAATATATTGAAAAAGGTTAGATTGATAGAGATGTACAGAAAAGAGAGAAACAACTAAACCAAGTCCCCCTTTCCCTTCCCCTTTTTCATTTGTGTTATCACAGGTGTTGTGTTATGGAACATAAATACTGCAGGAAGCTTCATGATGAGCTAATGTTTTTTTTGGTGTGCATTCACAGGGCGTAAAAAAAGCAAGTCATTGTTTTTTTGTTTTTGTGTCTTCTTGGATTGTCATCATAAATTAAAATAGGTCCTTTTTCAGCGTGTGTTGCCCCCCTCTCATCTCTCTGAGACCTGGAGTGAATGTGGTCCCCTCTGCTGTCACTTTCAACACATTTTACCCCACTCCCCTATTGAAGTTCTGTCATTGCCAGGCTTTGAACTGCCATTTGTGTTTTGCCCTGCACAATGCTCGTCTCCAGAGCTTCGTCTGGGGTGAAATTGTCAGGGCCAAAGGCCACATTTCAACAACACATTTTTCTTAATAAGAAATGCAGAAAGCCTGTCTATGGACAGGACACATTCACGAGTGTTTATCAACACCCATTTTCAAAGAATTAATGCTTATTGTTTGTGTTTTTTTGTAAATTGTACTTTTACTACATACAATTCCACCTGACCATATGTTCTCTAAACTCCACACTATTTGACAGCTATAGTTAGTTTGCAACAAAACATATGTTCAACCTATAAAATATAATGCATTCTTAGAGATTAAACCACTCAACCGTGTAAAAATACTTGAAATAACCTTCACTTTGACCAGCTAAAATATTCAAATGATTTTAATGCATCAGTGATAATCCTGACATCCTTTGCATTCTGTTCATTTCTTTTAGTGTGAAAATCAATACACAGGCTCTTGAAACTTGCTTGATTTGTGTTATACTTCATCAAATCATAAACATCAAGTCAGCATTAATTTCTGTCAAAGTTAAATTATTGTTTAAAAGTAGTGCACTGCTGACTTTATAATTTATCTTCACTTAAACTGACTTGCAGTGGTAATGGAACATTTACAAAAAAATAATGCAGACTCAATGTTCAACGGAATGATCACACACCTCAAGCCGGTTTCAATAAGCTGTTTATTGATTTTGTAAATAAATGTAAACCAATGTCAGCCTGAAACAAAAACGTCAAAACAGCAACAATTGAAGTATACATGATTTGTAGTTAAAGCTGCACTATCAATTCTTTCTATAACCAATGTATCAATGTGTCATACTAGTAAACTCACAGAGATTTATCACCCAATTTAGTAGTTCCACTCAGCTATCAGCTTTTTAGCCACTCCTTTAACAGTTTTAGTTTTCAGACATGCAAATTCTGTTAATATCGTTTTAAGGAGCAGGCAGCTGATTTCAACAAAACATCTCTGATAAATTCATCGTACATTACCTGCCCCGCAACAAATGGTAGACACACAAAGTTAGCAACTAGCTGGTGAAAATAGTCAAACATTTAGTTGCCAGATTTGGTGGAGGAGACCAAAACAGAGCTAAAAGGAAGACTTAAATTCGCCAGTTGGCCAGAGACACAACTCCAAATTATTGCTAACATTGTTCTGTGTCTACTGTGTGTAAATAAGAAGTTGTTTGCTTACACATTAGCCATGACAACTTTATTAGGTTATAATATGTCAGTGTTTTGTTTAAAGTTGGTTCGGCTATCCTAAGTGTTTAGATATTATTTTTATCGCAGTTTCTTTTTTGTTATAATGGGCTATTCTCACGTTACGATATTACTACTTTTACTTCATTAAAGGATCTGAATTTTTTGACAGTAGATGTTGTTTTCATCTGTAGCTGCCTCCCAGAAAGAAAGCAGAAAATACAACCAGATGCTTTGTAACTAATGTTGGTTTTGTTCCTCTGAGATACCTCTGGATCCGATGCTTGGATGCTTTTGTACATACTCTGGGCATGAAGCATCCACTCAGGGTCTTCAGTAAGCTGTAGCTGTGCTTGTTAGCCTAATAACAATAACAGTTTTAGTGGCTGGTAATGACTGGAACCTCTATGAGTCTCCAATTGATCCTGTCCTGTGCAGGAGTCCACTTGTTAGGAGAGACGCCGGGGTAAGATTTTTTGTTACTGCAGTGATGGCACAGCACCTGTCTCCTTAATGGCTGTGTGGGCTGCTGGTGAGAATTTTGCAGCTGGAAGTGGCACCAAATATGCAATGTCTTCTTTGTTTCCCCTTGAGCACTGAGCAAACAAGCTGTCTGCTGTACCTGCAGTAGCTTTCCCTCCCGGCTACCAAGATTTCTGGGACTTGTAATGCTACCTTGGCTGAGGATTTTATTTGTGTAATGTGAGGCATACTGTATCTTAAAAATACTTTGATCCTACAATATGCTGTGTTGATGATAAGGAAGGAAGTTAATTGAATCCCTTAATATATTTGCCAATCTCCACTGGCACTCTCTCAAAGATCCAGGCTGTGCACCTCATTTGAACTGTGAAACTTTATCATTTATGCACAGTGCTCAGTGTTTACAAGTGATGATGAAACGAGGGCACCCTGAGCTCAGAGACGAGGTCCAAATGTTTCAATTTCACCACAACATAAGCAATTAGTAAATCGCGTGCTCCCTGTTTTCTTTCTCTCTCTCTCGCTCCTTATCTTTGAATGTCCCTCGCCCCTCGTGCCAGCGGGCGAAGAATATGTCTTCTAAGTCCTTGGATTCCTGTCTTGTAAACACCATAGGCGTTGAGTTTTGTTTACCGGTGTGCACGGCAGGCAAACAGCCGACTCTGTCTCTTGAACAGTTCGTCCCGTGGGGCCAAACTCACCTTGTTACCCTTTTAATTAGTAAGAGCAGTTAATATTGCTGCTTCTGCCACCTCAGCACTCTGCTCAGACTTCAAGAATCCCTGCAATCGATTGCAAAGGGTCCAGCTGAGACAGGGAGGTGAGAGAGCGAAGGGGGTGCTATTGTGAGAGCAGCTCAGGTACATTCATGATGTTTTTTGGAGAGAAATCAAACAACATACTATTTTCTTTGAAGGAAGCTTAGGGGCGGGTGTATCAATAACTATTCTTTCTCTTTTTTCCTTGGACATGTGGGATCTTACAAGGGATAACAAGGTCTCTAGGTTCCTCATGCACAGTTTCTCCTCTCCCACATTTTCTCTCCCTCGAAAATGAATGTAATCAAAAAGCTAAGGGTTTGCTCTGCAGATTCTATTGTGCCCTGCTTTTATCCCTTCCCACCTCTCGCCGACATGTTCATTTCTTTTCTTGTTTTGATTTAAAGATGCCGTGGAAGTACTTTGCATTTAGATGACATGCTGCTGAAGAAGTGTGATGGATCAGCGCGTCTTCAGAGGACTGAATTTCTTCGACAGCGCCGGGGCCAGTCGGCCGGTTAGACAGACAGAGCGATATAGCGCAGGACAACAGGCTGGGCGGGCAGCGGAATACCAAGTCCACCTTGGTGCTGCAGATAGTTGGCACAGCAGAGAGAAGAGCAACGGCTGCTGGGAATGCCAATGCACTGCCCAGACAACCGTCTCGCTTTGGCTCCTCTGATTGGCTAAACAGACCATTAGCTTCCTGATTATGATTAGCGGAGTCATTATCTACCCAAAAGTGTCTCATTCGCCAATATTAAGAAGGCAACGGAGCTGTTTTCTTCCTCCAGTCAAGGGGAGAACAGCGTGTTTTCATGTGTTCTAAAGATGAATGCAGAAGGCAAGAAGTTGTTGTTCACAGAGAAACAAAGTGGAACACTGTTTATCATCCTGCCCTACAGCTAATGTGATAAAATTTTCTATCTGTGTGATGCCATTGATAGAAGAAAGGAAAGGTCTCTCACTCATTAACGCGGATGATGAGGTGGCTATTACTTGCTCCTATTTTCTGGTTGAGGAGAGAAGTGGTGTCCTCAAAGGTCATAAAAACTGGGAGAGTACACAATAACCTTCAACTTCCATCGTCTCGCCTAAGATGTAATTGGAAGACACCCTATCTTTGCTTTCAGTGGGACATATGCTGAAAGACCAATATGCTGAGGGAAAGTTGAATAAAACGTTAGTGAAGTCTGGTCCTCTGTTCCTCTGATTCGAATCTTCTACTTTTCTTTTCCAGCCTTTGCCTAAGGAGCCGTCGTAGGATGCAGAAAAAAAGTATGTGAGTATTATATGATTTATTTTATTCTAATTGGCATACTGGATGTATAAATCTACTTCATTTCACTTTGACATATAAGCAACCAAAGACATTTTGATTGCTGTACCTTGTGGAAAGCAGACATAATAACTTTTAAGGGAAACCTAATGAACAGCAGAAGCCATGCCTCAATTCTAAGATGTGTAAAGGTTCAGTTTAGCTCAGACCTGGAATGAATGAGTTCCAGTGTCTAGTGTTTAGTGTCTATTCACCATGTATTTTCCAGTACTGCTCTCACCGCTGAGCTTGAATAAAGATCATTCAGGACTTGAAGAAGACATAGTGGGATCCCCCATTTCTCAGGATGCAGTCTCTTTGATGTATCTGTGCAAAAGAAGGGAAATCAAAGGGGATTATTGGGAAGTTTTGAAATGCATAAGATTGGAAACTAAAAAGCCCCACTGTGGTTCCATCAAAGGGAAAGGGTACTATCCAGTATCCAGTCCTTTTAGGACAAAGGTAGACCACTGACATGAGTGGTAGGAAGTTTTTGACAAAAGCAATAACTGAAAGAAAAAGCGACATTTTATAAATCACTTTCCTAAATGCTATGGTAACAGAGTCATACAATTTGGTTGCCTGCCTTTCATTCTGTCGATATTCACTTATCAGAAGTCGAGTTTAGGAGCAGGTTAGCCTGCCTCTGCTGGCAGGTTAACAAAAATGTTTCGATTCTTTAAAAACGAGGAAATCTATTAAAGATTACGCTCAATTCCTCTTCCAAGAACATTGCCGGAGTATGGAAAGCTTTTATATTCTACAAAACCACAGGCATTTGGAATCTGCATGCTTTATGTCTCCTAGCCAATATTGTAAGATTGATTTTCCCTCTTCCACCAAGAAAACAAAATGAATCACACACAATTACCAAGGACAGGGAGAAAAGGGGAATTGAGGGCATCATAAATATTTATTTGCCAGCCCTGGGAATTTGTGCAATTCTGTGTGGATTTGCCAACTCATATTTAAGTGTCTGAATGATTTATAAGGGCAGTGCTGGATGTCACATTTGTCTACTGTCACCCTGGATCATTTATATATAAGCATTTATGGATTTATCCATATAACATATTCATGACAGAGTTTTATTATCATTCAAATGGATTTCTTGATCAAATGATTGGCTAAATAAAGTAATTTACTGTAGAATTACACTGGAAGTGAAATGTTCTCCATGCAGAGAGAAATATATTGCTTTACAAAATCATTTATGCAATTTGCTTTTTTAAGACATGACATTTTTGTGAAAAAGGAGCTAGAAGATTGGCCTGAAATAAAGACTGTTTCACATGGAACAAGTAAAAGTGCTTTTATATACTGGTCATTCTTTAATAAGACAGAGGTTTTGGTTTACATTTTAGATTTTGTGTAAACCTTGCGTATATGGTATTTGAGACCAAAAAATAAGTTCTGTAAAATATTTTTGGCTGAATTTTGAGAATGGCATTGTTTTTTAAGGAATGTAGTAATTTTTGTCTCCTAAAAAACGTGAAAGCCATTTTTAGAGTTCATTATGTTCAAACATCGACTAACCATGCGTATAATGAGCACTGGAAAAAAAAAACTGGAACCTCTCTGATACATCTGATGATTAGTGTCAGGTGTGATTGATTAGGCTTGATCCCCGGGAGCAGGTTTGGAAACACCTGATTAAGATTAAGTCATTGGATATATAAGTGAGATACATCTGATGACATCTGTTGGGTGGCAAATGTACAGGTTTGGTGGGTCGAGAAGACGATGCAGTTTGAATAAGAAGATCAGCAGAGACATTGAAGTGACTTTTGAGCACTTCCTTCATGCAAATACGTGAATGTATAATCAGTTGAGGAATAATCACCATCTGCCTTGTTGTTTTTCTTTGTTACTTGTAGTATAGCCTTTTTCTCTGCTTGCCATTATATCATAGCACGGTGATGTGTTTGATTAAACATGTGTAAGTTATCATTTCAGTTTATATTTGTATTACTTAATACATATGCATGGGTAGTTGATTGGGCATAATAAACCTTATATCTTAAATTTAAAGATGAAAACATCATTGAAGGAACCTGTAACTTTACACACACGTCCATATGTATATCTTTGGGGGACTGCCTGGGACTCCAAAACCACCCATTTTTCACTTTTTTTTCATTTTCAAGTACAAATAATTATGGTTGTGCCTTTGTTGCACATAATATTGTCTGTACCCCTACTAAATTTCATGGCTCTAAGAGTTACTAGAGATACTGAATGGCTTCCCGCCTAAGACTTTTTTAAGAGGTGAAAATTACAACATTCCCTGTACATAAAGAGCCATAATGCTAACAGCATATTTGGCACCTCCTGCACAAAAGGTACGCCTACAAACAGCGATAAGGTAAAAAGTAATATCAAGGAAGAAACTTTTTTTTTGTTTTCATCACTGATGGATGAAAATTTAAAAATTAAACAGAATAGTTAAAATGTATTTTGTTTTTGAAGCCTTAATAGATGACCATTGTGAGCTTCAGGGATGCTCACGACCTTTTCAAAATGTAGCCCCTCATTATCATTTCCATCATTTATTAGATAAATGTGGCAAAAGTAGAATTGTGGAACTTTGTTGCACAAACATAGAATGACAAGATGTTCATTCGGGGCTCACATTTAATTCACTTTAAGTAAAGTGTTTTGCTGAGGCTGGCACAGATGAAAATTGAAAATACATGGGGCGGTGGGAGGCCTACACTACGAGGGTTAAAAAAAAAAGTAGAATATCCTCAACAGATTAAAATTGGCTCGTCCAGTGTTTTGTGGTTTATTACTACTAACTGATTATATTTTTGAATAAAATGATAATTAAGTGATTTAATGAATGTATTTCAAGAAGGCTGAACATTTAGGTTTGTTTTGTGCTGCAGTAGCCACATTGTATGGTAATGTGTATTCAGTTAGGAGTTGTGTTACAGAAATGTTAACTATGTTTGCCATTGTGACTTTTTTGTAACGAGGTGCATATCTTAAAGTGGCTTTTGAAACAACTGTGTCTTGTGATGTTTATCTTTTCTTTGTCTTTTTTCCATCCCTCTGCAGGTTCTTGACATCCGTGCTTTGAACATTGTGTCCATTTGACAGTGAGGGTCCCAAACTTCACACAAGGCTTGACCTTCAGTAAAAAAATTTAAAAAACACACAAAAAACAACAACCCAGCTTCTCCAATCACCTCAGTAAAAGACTCAAAGCAGACACTTCTGAGAACTCTGAGGAATCTCAAGTGAGCAGCATGGTATACCATCGGCACTGAATCTTCAACGCAACCAAAATCACGGACACACCATAGAACAAAATCCCTGTAAGGAACAGTTATCAACAGGGCAGTGGAATATACATTGAAGTACATTACCCTTTTTTGTCGTTGTTATCCAACATCAGGTCTGCAGGGAACGGCTCCTTGAAGATTTTTTGTACCTTTGTGGCTTGATTTAGTCTTGTCAGAAGGTCTTTCAAAAGTCAGCCCCTTCATCTTCTTTACTATCCCTGCTATTAAGCTGTCCAGGGTTATACTCCAGCCAAGTTTCTTTAATGACAGCTCGCTGCTAAAGAGCTGTGACTTTACAGAGGTTGAGCCAGGCTGTATCATCCATTGGATTTCTAGCCTTTAACACGTTTCTCTCATTTGGCTGGGTGAACCTTTACAAGCCCGTAGCCTCCAAAATCTCTGCATATACACAGGACGGTTGTGAAGGACATTGTGTAAAAGCTTGAAAAGTATATTGGAATGTCACAGAAGAGACAACATAGATGAACTGACTGGCTGTCCTCAGTGAATGAAGGTGATTATAGTGAAATGTGGACATTTTGGACAACTTAGCTTATAATTTATGTTTTTTATGTGGTGCCAACATAGACTAGAAGAGTAGTTTTTGTCAATGATCCTCACACATCTTGTACACACCACTGGAAACATTTAGCAGATGTGGACCCCTGGCTCATCTTAATGTCTCATTTAATGTCTATGCTTTGTGTGTGTGTGTGTGTGTGTGTGTGTGTGTGTGTGTACGCGTGTGTGTGTGTGTGTGTGCGTGGCTGTATGTCAGTGTGCGTGCACATCCAGAGATACACTGTGAAATAAATAATATCGAATGCATTATTCATACTCTTGTATATTTTTGGGACACGCCCAGACCAGAGCTCACCATCTGGCAAAAGAAGCCTTTGCGATTTTACAGATGTTAGATCTCATTTGAATCTTCACGGATGAATCCTGGGTTCACCTTTTGTTTTCTTTCTTGTCCTTTCTTTAGTAAATTGAGATATTTATATTGGGGGGAAATATTATTGAAACTGGGGACCGATCTACATTATATCACATAAGTTAAATTCTGTAATTATAACCAATTCATGTGTGATTAAATGTATTCAGAATACTTGTCTAAATTGACTATATTTTGATATGAAATGTTTTGACCAGCTGAAAGTGCTATTTGCTGATTTCAGATGCTTGATATATTTGAAATTATGTATATGTATATATATATATATATATTCAATTAATGTATTGTTATGTGGGTCTCATTCCAAGAGGAGATAAAGAAAAGTAGGAGGACAAGAGGCATTCTTCTAAGAGAAGTACAAGAGGTGGACACAATAACACGAACACCAGTAAGATATTAAAAACACAGAATAAAACACAATCCTTATACCACAACACAACAACCTACAGTTTGGTCTGCAAGATCTCTCTGATGCAGTTTTAAAAAAATAACCTTCAAGGAAGTAATGTTTGTTGCAGGGTGATTGCAATATATTGTACAGATGTTCCTATTAATGTATCTACACGTTGTTTTTTCATTTCTTTGTACTAAAATTTCCTGTACATCCCCATCTTAATGTATGCATTTGAGGATATAAAGAGAGTGTCCGCTCCCGGGAGCTGCGGAGTGTGTATTTGGTGTGTGTGTGTGTGACTGTTTTCTAGATCAACAGTGCTCTGTGTAGTGAGAAAATACCTATTTCCACCTGATCCCATACCTTTGATTTCATGCTTCCTTTATTTATCATTTCTTTGGTTTGCACTAACCATAAATAAATTGTCCCTTTGATTTGAGTCACTGTCAATGCAGGAGCTGCTGCTGCAGCTGACCTCAGCAATGCAGTGGCAGAGTGGATTTTATTAAAATCTAAATAAGAACAGAAACAACAAATATCTGGACCTTCTCCACTTGTGGTCAAAAAAATGTCAGAATCTGACTGTAGGTAGACATTTATACCAGCAGATATCATCAGACTAAGTTCTACAAGTTCTAGTACTGAGCCACATGCTCTTAACCTCTGGTGCACTGTAGTGAAGGGACTATCTAGGGCCCAAGCTGAGGGAGTGTCCTTAAATTGTCAGGACCATAAATATCATTTGTGGTCCTTAAATATCTATATATAAATATTTTATGCCTTTCTTTCACAGTGTCATTATTTTAAAAGAGGTTTTGGTTGAAAACTAACTACTGGCCAAATATTTCTCAATCACGACACTGCTACATTATCTGAGACAAACTGAAACAATAAAAAGAACTGCTTTCTTGTGAAGAGCAAAATGAAACTGGGTAACATTTTCTATGAAGCCCGCGTGTATGATGTATTATAATGTAGACTACTGCATAATGCATTATTACAGCACCATTACATTACATTACAGAAGTTGCCACGGGCCTTCATGTGAGTGATTATCCACAATGTGGTGTGCAGTTATTGAAGAAGTGACACACGAAATGCGGGTACCAAAATATGACGGACGGTGTGGAGCACATTATTTTTCATATGTGCATGGTGCATCGTGAACTTTCCCACATAACATGACAGCACATAGAATCAATACTTCGTTATTTATTATGGTGGACAATATGCTCTTTTAGTGGAAAACTGGTGTCACCCCAATCTTGGTCAACCTTATGTTATGTAATGTATGTAATTATGTAACCTAATGTATGTAACATTATTTTACCCCAACAAGTAGGAGAAGATTATTTGTAAAAAGCTACTGAAACCAGCAGCCTTCCATCTGTACATAGTTATTTAGAAAAGTGAGGAGGGTGCTATGTCTTACGTTTTTTGGGGGGGGATCACTGGTAAAATAGAGAGAGAGTGTTTGACTGGAACACTTTAAATTATTTAATCCCAATTAATTGCTAAACTTGCATAAACTTGAGTCTTACTCAGAGCACAGCAGTAGACCAATTGTAAATTGGTCTACATGCAAGCATACAATTCAGAAGAGTGAAGTTTGCATTAATTCATGAATGATGAATATATTTTTACTTCGGCTTCAATTGATCAGCTATTTCAGAGAGATTTCTTTTGAAACCAACAACTTTTGATAAACTCAACACAACTTAATAAACTTTGTATCTATCCCCCCGCACTACATTTAGTGCTAAGTACTTTCTAGTGAACCTTAAATAAATCATTAGGAAATATTGGACCTGTAAAATAAGACATTATCTGCTTTCTGTAACGATTATTGATGGAGAATGGTAATGCCTTAACATACAGTATCATCAAGAAAATGACGTGTTCCAGTTGGCTGTAGAATCTCCGAGACGTGTGGCACCTGTGGCTGCTGCCGAGGCAGTATTCCCACTCAACTCCCACACAGTTAGAGGTGTTCTTTCAACGAGGCCCTGCTGCTACTTCCTTCCATTTTGAATGTCTTACTGTCTCAGGGTTTTGACTGTGGGCTGCTGTCAGGATCTTGCCTGATATCAGACTGAATTGTCACTTTTTAACCAAGAAACCATTGTTTCATGTCATGAAGCCAGACCAGAATCAGTTAACTCAGTGGAGTGGGTTAATTCAAATGTCTGGTCCCATGCAAGGCGGGCTCAACAAATGGTACAAAGGTGGTATACTATTATGGCAAGCTATAATCACACTGTGTATGTGCTCTGATTGCAGGAACAACCACAATGTTCATCAGACCTTATAATCTCTAATGCAAATAAGGTGATTTAGCATGTGCAGTTGTGAAACTTGACCTAATTATTATGACCATTGTTGTAATGCCTTATGACCTTTGGTGGAAAACATTATACATTATAAAGGAATAGAATCATATGAGGCATTATACATGTTATAATGTGGTAATATATATGTATCAAACATCGTAGCTATGGGCTTCATAAAAAAAACAAAAATGATCTCCCTACACGGATTCTGATCACTCATTCTGAGGGCTAGTGGAGAATATATGATTATGAGTTAACACTTGCAAATGAGAATGTTTCGGTAATTGATGAATAAATGCGTGCAAGGAAATGTATTTGAGTTGAGGATGGACAGACATTCAGTAAATGGTGGCGTGGGAACAGAGGAGGGCAAAAAGTCACCATGTCTTTGTAAGAGCTTTATTTCTGAGCTACATACCTTCAATTTTTTTATTAAGTACCTTCAGTTTGTGTCAGTGTCAATCCCAGATAGTAACAACGATCATGCAAAATAATAAAACCTGACACTAGATTTGTTCTGGTCTTACAGGCTGTTTTTCTGGTGTCAGAAAAAGTCATTGTGTTTGCACTTGTGTGATATGTTTCCCCTCTTCAATACAACCATCAGGTGCAGGATAGTCAAATGTTTTGGCATTGTGGTTGTTGTCATTGTATATCTCTTTTGCCACTCCACATCCACAATATATCCCTGCTCAAGCCTAATGAGACACAAACATACCCACAAGGCTCAGATGGACTTGCTAAACACAGCGCTGTTGAACTGCGCTGCAGTGTAACAAATTAGCATTTATGCCCACATAAAAATCAATTTACTGATCCATTAGCTTAGCATAGTGCTAATGAGTTGCTGGTGATGACTCACAAGGGACTTTGGTTAGCAACCGAATCATCATTAAAGGTAGACTTAAAGGTGGCGGTGGCGCAATGGATAAGACTAGGCCTTTGGTGTGAGAGACCCGGGCTCAATCCCCCCACTGTGACACATCCACCATTGTGTCCCTGATCAAGACACTTAACCCCTAGTTGCTCCAGAGGCGTGCGACCTCTGACATATAAAGCAGTTGTAAGTCGCTTTGGATAAAAGCGTCAGCTAAATGGATAAATGTAATGTAAACAATTAAAAGGGCAACAGATTCATACATGTAAACAGTAGATAGGATGGGCTGTAGAGTACTAGGACTCTTTTTTTCATTTAGTATCATTAAAAAAGTTTTACATTATGGCTTCTCCCCCCTTTATTTCTTCTCAAATGCTGCTCAGACACCTCTCTGTCACATGAAATCTGTTGTACCATCCTTCAAACTAACAGTGAGGAGATGGCTGCACTCAACAGTTACCACCAGTCCCAGATAAGCAGAGCAGTAGTCGCTGCAGAAACTTAATATGTGGTAAGTGAAAAGTATAATACAATCAAAAGGTATCACTAGAATGCTCCCTAAGCCTTTCTAGAGGGAGTTCTGACTTTTATTTTCTTGGCCTGTGCTCTCTATTTTTACAATAAACACTTCAATGTCAAATGTAGACCTGCTTAGGTGAAGCTATGTGCAGTGTGGCTCCACTTGACACCAATGAATGTGAAAAGCAGACATGCAGCTGAATTAAATGTCATTCTCACCACTGAGTGATTTCCTATGAGGAGAGAAGCAGGCAGGAGGATATTCAATTCAATTCAATTCAATTCGATTTTATTTTTATAGCGCCAAATCCCAACAACAGTTGAAAATCGCTATGAGATCATAGCGATTTTCATAAAAGAGCAGGTCTAGACCGTACTCTGTGATGTTATTTACATGATATCAGCGTCATCTGAAAATATTTCTTTGCTGCCAAAGCCTCTCAGTACAGGACCCTCTGTGGTGATTCCACACTGAAGGTGAGTCAGCTCCAGGGGGAGGGGGAGACGGGGGGGCTTGAAGGTATAAAATGATCGTTTTGCAAGAGCAACACAAGCTAATTTATCATTCTCCAGGGGTCAGGCGACGCTTCCTTGGTTGTGAATTTTAATGTTGTTTTTTATGGGTCTTAATAAACTCTATTTTGCTGCGAGCGGTTATGCAGAAGAGCACAACATCCTTCACTGGGCTCATTTAGTGAGTCAAGGAGAGAGGGTCCAGAGCCAAATTTAACCAATGTAGTCATCATTTTCTTACACAGATAGGACACGGTAAGGTGAAATATTTAAGGTACTGGAAAAGTTATTTGGTCAGATTGTACATGCAAGCTAATAATACTCATTAAACAGAAGTAGTAATATTTCAACAGTTTTGCAAGCATTAAATCATTGTGCTAGCATTATATGTTCAGAAGTAGGCTAAATCTGTTGCACTTACATATCACTTTATCAGCCTAATTCAGTCTCTTCCCTTTGGTGGCCAATGTTTGTTTGTTGTTTCTAACCATGCTAATGGTTCGAAGGATGGCAATGTCAGCCAGTTGATTGATTGACAAAGGGACGAATAGTAGGCCGGGTCCCACAGAAAAGAGTCCTTGGAATTGTTGAAGTTGGAATGAGACAAAAAGCTGGCCAACTTGGAAATGACAGGATCACTATGGGCACATAGTGGACTAGACAGGCTGAAGTGTGGTTGCTAGCAGGTTGGGAAACCAGCTGGAGGCTAGTGGGCTGGATGCTAGTAGGCCAAGATGCAGACCGGAAGCTAGTTGATTTATTGTCTATTTTACTCTAAGATTTACAAAATGACAACGCTGTATTGAAGAAGACTTGAAACTAGAGTCTGACCATAAACATATTATGAGTGTATTTACTTAGGTAATAAATAAAGTGAGAAACACGGTCATAGACTTCTGTACAATCTTCTTTTTGCAACGAGTGGAGTCGCCCCCTGGCTTCACTTTTCATACCCAGAGTTTCCGCTTGGTCCCTACTTATATCATCAAGGCACACAAGGTCCAAAACCAGGTCACAATGTTCATCAAAAAATCTGTCTG